AAAAAGTTAGCTGGGTGTGGTGGCACGCACCTGTAATCCCAGCTACTTGGGAGGCTGAGGCAGAAGAATTGATTGAACCCTGGAGGTGGAGCCTGCCATGAGCCGAGATGGCACCACTGCACTCCAGCCTGGTGACAAGAGCAAGACTCCGTATCCCATAAGAAAAAAAAAAAATCCTCGTGCAAGAAGGTAGGGACCAAGTCTCATTTCCTCGCCCCTGTCATTTTCAGAGCCTGGGGTGGGGGCGGCAGGTGGCACAGAAAGGGTCTGCAGAGTGAGCGGGACTTGGCAGGTGTTGAGGGGCGGAATGGACATGTGAGTGTCGGTGGTGGGAGGACGGGCTGAAGGCTGTGATGGGAAGGCTGGGGGAGGGGTGAGAAGTGATTGTGGGGGCTTCCCTGATGAGCCCTCATGGAGGGTGCGGAGGTGGGGGCGGGGCGCAGGGACAGTGATCAGGGCACCTGGTACCCTGAGCAGCTTGATGGTGGCATCTCTTCTAAGATGCCCAAGACTGTGGACTTTTATTCCTTTATTGGGCCCCTAGCACCCTACCCCATCCCAAAGAAGGTCAGTGACCTGTATGTGGAGACGTAGCTTGAAAAATAAGGTGGAGTGGAAAGGAAAGAAAAGCAGCAGCAGGAATTCCAGGTGGATGGGCTGAGCTTGGGGCCCACCTGCTCCAGTCAAGGGCTGGAGCAGGCCTAAGACCACTCGGAAAGGCTGGGCAGGGGCAGGGGGTGGGGGCCAGAATCACAGCTTCCCATTCAGAGCCACATCTTTGGAGGAGATGTTCTGGATGGCAGTAGTTTCTCGGCAAGGGAGTATATCCTGGAGATGGTTCTGTCTGTAATCCCAGTGCTTTGGGAGGCTGAGGTGGGAGGATCGCTTGAGCCCAGGAGTTCCAGACCAGCCCTGGGCAACAAGGCGAGACCCCATCTCTACAGAAATTAAAAAAAAAAAAAATAGCCAGGTGTGGTGTGGAGCACCTGCAGTCCCAGCTACTTGGGAGGCTGTTTTGGGAGGCTCCTCTGAGCCCGGGACGTGGAGGCTGCAGTGAGCTGTGATTGCACCACTGCATCCCAGCCTGGGCAGCAGAGCAAGACCCTGTCTCAAAATGAAGAGAGAGAAAGAACAAGGGCCAGGCGCGGTGGCTTGTGCCTGTTATCCCAGCATTTGGGAGGCCAAGACAGGCTATCACTTGAGGCCAGGAGTTTGAGACCAGCCTCACCAACATGGCAAAACTCTGTCACTACTAAAAATACAAAAGCTGACCGGGCGCGGTGGCTCAAGCCTGTAATCCCAGCACTTTGGGAGGCCGAGGCGGGTGGATCACGAGGTCAAGAGATCGAGACCATCCTGGTCCACATGGTGAAACCCTGTCTCTACTAAAAATACAAAACATTAGCTGGGCATGGTGGCGCGTGCCTGTAATCCCAGCTACTCCGGAGGCTGAGGCAGGAAAATCACTTGAACTTGGGAGGCGGAG